CTCACGTTGGTTGCATCGGGGTCGGGGGTCAAGACAAGGTACCTAGGGCCTTCCGAAAGTCAACTCGAGGCCCTGCGATGGTCAACAGATATACATAGGAACTGTACAAGTCACATCTAAAACCTGGAAAAGTCAACAGTCTTTCCAGGTCAACAATCAAAGCCCTATGTGGTCCGATAGTCAAAGATGCCTCCAGAAGTCGACCACGGCCACAGATCACACACAAAACCAAACCGAATGCTCAACCCACGCGCCCAGCTCGGGCAGTGCACCCATGAACTGCTGAAACGTAAGACCCGAGTTCAAATCCAGCTGCAATCAGATGAACAGATTGAAGTAATTCTTAGTTACCTGGAGCCGATCGGTCAGACGATGCTGATCGAGTGGCTGCAACGTCAAGGAACAGCCTGGCTGAGACAAAAAATCTGGACCGTGTAAATAGTCGACTGTTGGCTCGTTCAAGGCATGAACTGGAAGCAGGCTCAGCCAAGTCAACACTTCAAAAGACCGACCTTCCTCCGCTCGGTCATTCATTTTGCAGGTGCGCTTCCCGAAATGCATTGACTATGCTAACATCTCTCAGTCTGCTTTACGCTTAAAAGAAATTGCGGGTGTGCTGGAAATGCATCCTGAAAAAGTATAATAGTTTGCTATAAGATTAAAGGAGGAGATCCCTCTATGCGGCCCACCACCCTGGAATTTGTGTGCCCTCCTAAAATCCGTCCACATTGGGCCTCGGTGGACCTCTTGCCACATGTGGCAGTGTGTACTTCCATGCTTCGGCGGAAGATTGGACATTTGGTGACGGGTGCGGCGAGGCCCAGTATCCACACAAATGTGTAGTGCACTCCCTGTAAGAATTTGTCTTTTTCGACATGGATCTCGTGTAGAGGGTGTGGGAGGGGAGGGGGAGAAAAGAGGTGGTCCTTTTTATTTTCTCCTTTTGCTGTAAAACCTCAGCATCTCTGGAGCTGCCTACAACCTGAGGTTTTAACTCCCCACTCTGTAGCTGAGGTACGTTTCATCTCTTACTACCGTGTTCCCCCGAACACAATGCACCCTTATTTTGGCTGTATCTGGCCGGACATATAGCTCTTTAGGGTGCGTTATGTTCGGGGGAAGACGGTAGGGAGCATCACCTTCTCACAATGGGGGCTACCTACCTTTTGCTTAAACCGCCAGTACATTTCCCAGCCGTTTTGCAGAAACTGACCGTCCATGAGTGTTGCCATATCAGATCTCTTCAGCCTCTTGCTCAGGGTCGCCAGTTAAAACCACCAGTACCTCACCAGGTTTTTTTTTTTTTTAAATCTGGGCCCTTAAAGCGCTGCGACCTTGAGGGTTTGGGCCCGCTGGCCTGCAGAGCGGGGCGAACCCCGGAAAGTCACAGCACTGGCCCAGGTACTGGTGGTTTAACTCTTACTGGTGGTTTAACTCTTCACCTCCTACCGTCTTCACCCGAATCGAACACCTGGTCATTATTGCCGCATCTGCACTCACAGTTGGGCGAAATACAGATATAATGACCGGGTGTTCTATTCGGGTGAAGACGGTAGTCCGATTGTTCTTGGAAAATAAACTGTCTCTGGGATGTTTAGACAGTTTGCTATGTCAGGAAGTACCTAGGGGTTTGGGGGTTGGTGGAACCAAACCCTACCGGTAGTGAGTACTCTCTATGTTGCTTCATGTCACTTCCTGTCGCTTCATGTCATATGTCTGGGATGTTTAAACAGCACTCACAACATGCTGTCTCTTATACACATCTAGATGTGTATAAGAGACAGGTGTGTGTGTGTGTGTGCACATGCAGATGGTGTAGACTTAAACAAGGATCTTGGGTGTTCAATTGATTGGCCTGGCGTTTGCTGTAGCGGGCTTCAGTAGACCCGGCAGAGTGCACAGGGTGTTGCACAAGAGGAGGGAGGAGGGGGGGGGTGGGTGGGAGGGATAAGGGGGATGGGGTGTCGCTTTTCCATTATGTAGTCCCACATGGCCGTGCGTGATTATGACCTCAATACATTTTCTCTCGCAACCTGAACTGGACACAGTCTTCCACATGGAGCATTTCTTGAAGCGATCTTATGACCCACACTCCAGGGAAAGACAGCTGGGGTTGTAGAAAGTCGCTGACAGAGGGCTCAAGCATGTGCTGGTGGTCCACACGTCCCTTTTTATGTTGGGAGGATTTTGCACTGCACACCTGTGCTGGTTATCTTGTCAATGAACACACTGCCTACTTCTCGGCACCCTAATTAATGTAACTAACCGTAAGTGCACATCAACTCTTTTTTGCTTTCCCTGTCTCTGCCTCTTTGCACGCGCACGTGCGTGCTCGCGCGCATGTGTGTGTGTGTGTGTGTGTGTGTGTGTGTGTGTGTGTGTGTGTGT